TCAGGCATTACGTAAGAAGATATATTTGATTTATTTTTCATAACCATGTTCATTTAGGCAAAATACAAGGGATTCGGGCGCTGCATGAATTTCAACCGATTAGTGAAACAACGGTTCAATGTCGTTCGACATCTCTATCAACAAAGATCAAAACACACTCATTTAAATAAAATCTCTTTCGTACCTCTTCAACCCAATAAATTTTCAAATAAACTTTGTTGGTAAAACTCAGCGTTAAACCACAGTTAAAAACTCTCTCAATTTTCTCTGCAGCCTGTTCGTTCAGTCTCAATTTCATCGCTTAGAAAGGCGTCAATTTGAACATTCAACTTCATCAGCTACCGATACAAGAGCTTTCTGTAATTAAAATCGTTGAAATCTGTTAACAAAAGAATATATTCCTTGAANTTTTTCGTGAATTTTTTTTCTAGAATATTTCCATCTTTTTCAGCATAAAAAACTGCCTAAGAAGTTGTCTTTGGAGACGTTTCGTGTTTTTTTCTGACATTTTCGGTATATATGACGACATACCAAGACACGTTCCGAAAAAACGACCTAGAACTCGAAATTTTCAATAGGAAGGGACCCATTTTTTTTTCACCAAAAGTGTTTTCTAGATCACTTCGGCATATTGAGCGAAAAAAAAATCGAAAAAAAAATCTTTTCCAGAAAAGTGGTAGGGACCCCATAGATCTACCCTATTGTCTCGTAGTACTTTACCTTTGCTCAGGCTTTCGGTAAAAATAGAAGGTGAATCTACAAAGGATATAGCTTACCTTCTAGGCGTAGATAATTGACGAAGTTTTCTAAATCCCACTTTTCAGAGGCGCTTCTTATCAACCACTAGTTTGTGCCGAGCGCTAATGAAACCAATGTATTATACTCGAAGAAGTGACAAAATATCGAATAGTGCTAGCCTAGCGCACCATTGTACTGGTGGAAAATCAGTTTAAGTTGAAAAGGTATCGACCACTTTTATGTGACGGATAGCTTTACGAATTGTTTTTTTTTCTGAGGTTGATACCTAGACCATTGAACTATTTTCATAATGCAAAATCTAGAATCTACAACAATCTTTTCTAGGTTATAAACCGCCTCATCGTAATCAAGTACAGCAGGAACTGAAACGATTGCATTCCGTTCATGTATCACCCTTACGTGATATGCTGAAAAACGTTCAGCATATTGCTTTGACGTCCGATTTTTGGTCGACTCGACAGCAAGAATCGTTTGTTTGTATTACTGGTCATTATGTCAACAATGATATGAATTTCGATTCCACGGCTTTGCATTTTCAATCATTCAAGGAACGACATTTTGCACATAATATAGCTGAGGAAGTAAACTCCTGTCTTCGTGAATTCGATATTCACAATAAAATTACAACGGTAGCGTGCGATGGTGCAGCGAACATGAAGAAAGCATTCGATTCGTATACCAATATTGATCGCCTGTGGTGCGTGGCACACCGTTTACATCTGTCCGTCTGCAATGGCCTTGGGCTTTGGGCAAAACATACGAAAAAACAGTCCGATTCCAGTCAAGCTGATCCTTATGCAGATAATTCAATGGACATTCAAACACCACTCTGTGACAATGATTCGTAAAACATGCACAATGGTGAAGTTGAAAGTAAATCACAGCTGACAATGTTTGCTTTGTGAAGATTAGTCGGGGAAGGAATTAGATAAGATTATCATGTAATATTTGAATCCTTACATAGTTTGAATATCAGATAATCGAAGTCACTTCATCAGTCTGATGATTTTTGCTTACGTGACGAGCAAATGTAATATCTTGAGCGTTTTTTTATCTTATAGACGAAAATGGCGAAGTCGACGATGAAGATGGAGCGAATGACGATTTAATAGTTGATAGTTGGGCAGATGACGTGATAACTGCTGATTCGAATGATATTGGTAACAACAGCAACAATAACAATAAGTTTCAAATCACCACAGACAATTTGGCTACGACTGTGTAAAAATGCCGATCATTAATCCAAATGACACGTGGTTCACAACATTTGTCCAAATATATCAATTTTCAAAGAGAATTGTTAATAATCAAATCACGTCGGTTGAGTAATGATTGTATTACTCGTTAGAATTCAACGTATATTGCACTTTTATCCATTGTGGAGCACAAACAGGTATTGATAAGCCTGTTCGAAAACAGGAACAAATTACCATTAACATTAGCACAGAAAGAAAAATTATCCTTATTTGAATTGACAAGCAACGATTGGATAATTATCAATGAATTAGTCCATTTACTGGAACCTATTTCTAATGCTACGGAATACTTATCTGGTTCGAAATACCCGACAATCGGCTTGGCTTTGTTCACTCTACGTAGCATCAAAGAATTTTTAGAAGATGATGAAGATAAAACAGATGTGTTTATCATCTTGAAAAATTATTTCCTCGATACATTCAAAGTTTATTTTAATGAAAACGATGATCAGCACCATCTTTTAACAGTATGTATTTCAAATTGAAAGGAAAACAAAATAAGAGTTCATTAAGGTTTTTGGTAGTCATATAGAAGCGTAGTATTTTGCTACACAGCCCTAAACCAAGAACATTCCATCCCATGTATAGGGAAAGAGAACTAGTGCGTAGGCAAACGAAAGAGAGAATCATAATCAAGAGGGAGAAATACATATATCAACCTTTTTCAGTTTTGAGCAGTGATTAGGTCTAACAACCTGCGACTTTAGATAATATATTTGGATGAACATATAGAAAAAGCTATCCAACATATATGTATGCCAAATATGATTCGGAGATAAAGGCACATGACATATGACAGCTAACCAAGACAAGCAACCATAGTCCTTACTCAGAATAGATTGAATTAAACTGCTAATGTTGAGTCTTCAAATCGTGTGAAGTTTTCGTCACACTTTGAAGTGTAACCAGTCTTGAAAGGGCTGAGACTGAATACTTTCGTATTCGTATGTTCATTCGTAATTAATTTTCAGGTTGAAAAATCAATCGCGTAGAAAGTGTCTTAACTTTGGTTACTCCTAGTGCAATTCCAAGTATTTCATTATTATTTTGAGACTCTTTTGGCCAGCATCAACGCCTAGGAAAGGCTCACAGATGATAAGCTTTCGGAAAAGATTGTTACAGAATGGCTGCTGCTACTGAATAAGAGAATTTTGTTGAGGAAAAGAATTCATTGAGAAAAATAATCCATAGTATTTTTAACTCCATTTGAAAGTCCACCTCCTTGGAAAAGTACAATTTTATAGATGGAGAATGCGGCTACTCTTCTTCGATTGAACTCTCTTCGTGAGATAGAATAATACTCTTTGTATTTCACTTTGTTTAGTTCTACGGATATTTTGACCCATTCGGATTCTCCGTTTTAACAACACAGGAGAAAGCTAAAATCGAACGGTTGATCAAACAAAAAAACAAAGAACAAGTTCAATCGACACCTGCACGTGCATCGTCGTCGTCATCAGCATCAACATTCAGTACAAATCAAGCCATGAATATTAATTCACAAACAACTAATGAAAAACCAGACAAATTAACCAAATTCTTAAAGTCAATAAACAAATGTGTTCCGACTGATAATCGTAAACACAAAACGATCTCCGAAGAGATCGCATATTATGCATCACTATGCAAACAGCATCCACGTATGCATGCGATTCCTTTTTGGAAACAATATGGACAAGAGTTGCCTATGCTGAAAAATATGGCCAAATGTTATCTAGCAACAACTAGTACAAGTGTTCCTTCGGAATCTGCTTTTAGCTCATCTGCCCAGGTCGAACAATCCCATACTCGGATCCCATCGGATCCCATGTCGGATCTCGTCGGATCCGAAACATGGATTTCCTGGACTTTCTAAGGGTCATCATAGAACATAGCTAAAAAGATCGCTCATAAAATTTGAAACAACCGACGGGATTTTCCTAGTCGGATTCCAATGCAATTCCGTTTCTAGGAATCCGATCGGATTTTGTCGGATGGTCGGATCCGGTAAGATCCGATCGGATTTGTTGACCTGAGTGCAGCCAAGCCCAAACAGAATAGAAATCCCAACACCTTCT